TCCCCCCACTCTCTTCATCTCAGCCGTGGGGCTGCTTTGAAACGGGGAGACTTCTCCCTTTGGCACCTGGCAGCGCTGAGCTCCTGTGCCCAGGGACAAGCACTGAGCCAAGCCAGGCTGGCAGGAAGGCCCCTGGGGAGGTCTAGGCTGCAGCAGCATCTGCATGAGGATGCCCTCATCGTGCCCCAATGGAGATGTCCACTGTGCCCCCACGCACCAGGAGGCTGACCCACAACAAGCTGTGCTTCACTTGGCCACTGCTCAGTCCCACCACAGCCGGGACCACAGCTAAGCCGCTGCCCAGGCCAGCCACGCACCCTGCACACAGCCTGAGGACAGCAACCTGCCTGCTCGCCTGGTACCTGGCTTGCAGGCTGCATCTGCAACGCTTGCCTGCGTGTTTCTTGGCGGGGCTAAGAGCACAGGAGGGCCTGGGCTTCTCAATTTGGCCAGGATCTGGCATGGAAGGCCCAGTGCAACAGAAAGATTTATACAGAGTATCATCGCTTGCCCTCTGTAGTGTGGTGAACAGGACACTGCCAGCACACCTGAGTAGCTGAAATGCTGCAGGGGACAATAGGATTTTTAATTAAGGTTATGACTCTGCAGAAGCTCTTCCTTGCATGGAAAGCCTTTTGGACCAGGCAAACTTCAGATACAGATTTTAATCTTTCCATCAAAATCATTCTCGCTGAAGCAGGAGGTCCTGGTCTTGGCTGCGGTGTGGATCCTGTGCAGGCAGGCGCATGAGCAGGCATATGTCAGTGCGGAGAAGAGCTCTGCCTGCAGGCCAGCGTGCAAATGTCAACCTGGCAGGAGGCATCCAGCACTGCCATGGAAAGCCCAGAAGCATCTAAGAGCCTAGTGCACAGTACTGAGTGTCACCGACAGCCCTGGCAGCGGGGGCAGCCCCTTGTGGGACGAAGCTCTGCCTGTGACCCCATCCACAGACATGTTGGCCATACCTCACGTCACACATCGAATCCAAAAGCCACAGGAAGGACAACACATCTGACCCACAGACAGAGTGCCAATTCCTTGGCTGCAGCTGAAGAAAACCAAAGCTGACGCTGACGGCCTCAGACCTCAGACCAACACCTGCACCTGGCATGGGCTCCTGCAACCTTCTGCCTCTGCACCCCAGACCCCCACCAGACACCGCCCTGCAGGGCACGGTGGGAGGCAGATCTGCCGGGCGATCCATGTACAGCTTCAGGAGGAGCTACCGCTCTCCGCAAGCCACTCCAACCCACCCTGAGCAACCACAAAGGAGAGGCCAGCCCCAGGCTGCGCAACAGTTAAAAGCCCAGCGTTTGCCTTGCAGGAGGGCCAGGAGATCCTGTTGCTCAGAGAAATGCGTTTGTCCAAGACAAACAGCGGCCGGGCATTGTTTCAGCATGAGTCAAACGAGTGGAAATGCTCCTGTGCCATCCTGTTTTGCTGTCTGGAGGTTCCCCCCTACCTTCAGGACGTGCAAGCCGGCTCTGGGACGTTTCCTATTTGCTATTCTCTTACTCCTCTGTTTCCCACAAGCGTCTGTACCCATTGCACCAGGCACAGTGCGCCCAGTGCACGAGTGCAGCAGCCGAGCACTGCGCAGTCCCGGCCCGTGCCTGGAAAGTGCAGCCTACAACCAGACAGACAACAGGCAGCTGGTAGGAACAGCATCGCTTCCCAGAAAACAGTGCATCATTTACAAAATACACCAGTTTGCACCCATTTACCTCCTCTGACAGGCCAAGTAGGTAACAACAATCCAACACAGCCAAGTGGATTGATCTCCATCCATCTTCCCTACTGCTACAGAGAGGGGAAGATGGCACCTAGACCTTTTGTAGCCACTGGCTTACCCTGCCCTGAGGGTGTCGGTCCACAGCTCTGTGAGCAAGATCAGGAAAGCTTTGCTGACTCACCTCTGATGTTTTGCCCCATGCTGGCTACCCTGCTTTTAAGGCTTCGGTGTTGAATGTGTGCTGGCACAGCCATGGTTCACGCGACACAACCTCTAGGCAAGGGTGCACCCACACTGCTGCAGAGCCACAGCCCCAGGCACAGCCCCAGGCACTGTGTCCTGCTTGGAAAACGCCTCCCAGTCTGCTATGGGAGCAGGTACCAGGACGCTGGCATCTCCTTCAGCTGCAAATCCAACCACATCACATTGCTGCCCTTGCTGGGAATGCTTTGAGTGCAAAGGAGCAATGTTGGGATAAATTCCCCTGGGCAGCGGTGGTGGTGTAGAGAGCTGCATGAAGTGGGGAGGAAAACACGAGTGGAAATTGAGAGACCCCACCATCACCCCTGCTGTCTGGTAACCTTCCAACACCCCCACAGCCGCTTTCCCAACTGATGCTTCAAGCCTGCGCACGTGGCAAATCACACAGCTGGAGTTGGCACCTCTTATTTCACACCTACAACGCATTTTTATCTTGCTAAAAGTATAAAAATAGCAAAGATTACTTTTTTTACAGACACTCATGCTTCATCAGCTCGCATTTTTGTCTGGAAACCCTTTTAGCAGCGAGGTACGAGCCCCGCGGGGCGGAGGGCTCGGCAGGAGGGCAGGCTGGCGTTTGCACAGCTCACCCCACGCCGGGTGATCTGGCGACAAGAAGGATCAGGAACTTGTTTTCACATGAAGATCAAAACAGCACAAGAAGAAAAGCACAACATAGCCCAGAGTGACCCAAAACGTCAAAACTGCAACAACAGAAAGTTCAGCCCAAAAATGCAGCCTGCGAGGGCTGTTATTGCTCGGCTTGTTTGTCCCCACCACAGGCGGCAGGAGGGGGGAGAGCATGGCTTTGGCTCGGGTCAGATGGCCCACGGTCCCATGCCTTGTCCCCCGCCGTCCCAGAGATCTCTCCCTCCAGCGAAGCACCCCAAAGCTTAACTCAGTCCCCTCCAGGCACGCCTGGTCCCACAAACCACGTCCAGGCAGCGGAACACCGTCCCTGCTCCTTAGCTATGCGTGGAAATAATGCAAAACCGATCGCTGCAGAGACAGAAAGACAGAGCAATTCCACCGTGGGCTAATTGCAGGCAAACAAACGCTTAATTTACCCCGTTACAGGCTGCACTGCTAACGAACGAGATCTGCCCTGCTGGGCAGCGCTGACTGAGGCTGACAATCCGACACAGCCCCGCGGCCACACTCGGCTGTCACTGCTCCCTCCCTCCCGCTTTAAGCTCTAACAATTGGATATGATTAACTGGGCCTGGATTTACCATTCCGGGCACCAAAATCCTGCCAGGACACCCAAAGCGGATACAGGAGCCCTCCATGCTCCAAGCGCGGTGTTGCCCTACGGAGAGGAGACCTCAGCATCCACGTTCCTCTGGCCCCAGCTCTCCCTGCCAAGAGCACAAGCCAGGAGGGGAGGCAACACTTCTGCCATGGGCACAGAGATGTCCTCTTCCAGCCCAGGAACACTGGTGACTTCTGCAGTTTGAGCAACCAGAAATGCCCTCATGAGCGTCCTCTTGGCTGGCTTGGGCTTCTAGGAAACTATCAGTGGTGATTAATCACCATCAATCCCCTGCTGGTGGACTTCTCTCTGTGGCCACCCTCAACCCATCTGGATGCACATGCGGCAAGAACAGCTGCTCCAGATCTTTGCAGCTCAGTCTTTGTCCAAGAATGCTGCTGGACAGGTCTTAGGAGGTTCAGTTATTGATCTCACTACTAAGGCTTCCAGTAGGGAAGGAAAAGACATACACAGCTCTTAAGCTTTTTTATCTTTCTCCAAGAACACTTCCATTAGGATTAGCAAATCTAGCCAAGCCATCTCAAACACTCAAACTCTGCTCAGCTGAGGAGCCATTACAGCATCCTGAGTTGATGATCTGATTCACCCTGGACTAAAACACCCTTGGAACAATGCACGCTAAATTAAATCCATTTCTTTAAGTACCAGCCTGGAAATATCTGTGGCCCTGAAGCCCACCGGTGGCCTGTGAGTGGGAAGAGTGGGGCCACCCCTTGGTGCACGGCTCCCACCACAGGCTGCCACCACAGCTGGCACTGGCTGGCGGACCAAGGGTCTGAAGAGCAAGTGACCATGGGGCTATCTGCATGCTTGCAAGCCCAGGTCACCAACAGAGTTGTCCACTCAGTCATTCCTAGGGGAATATTTCTTCAACAGAAGGTGCACTGACACTCCAGCAACCCAGAACCTCGCTATTGCTCAAACTCAACCTCTACTCTGCCTACAGGGAAATGAAGCAACCACCAAATGCTACCAACCAACGGGCACTGGGAAACACACGTCTCCACTGCATTGGTCATTTTGGGCATTTCCCAAAAAATTTCTCACATCAGCAGAGGATGGGGTTCACATTCGCTGCAAGCAAGCTACTGGCTGGAGAAGGCAGACTGATCCACTTAAACCTCATGCCAGGGGGATTCCCTGAATGCTGGGTCAGATATTTTGTGGAAGACACAGGTGGAGAGCAAAGAGGAAAGCTAGACAGCAGGACACAAGGCAACCACACTGCTCAGAGCAAGTCCTCAGGCAGTGCTGACCATACTTTCCTCTTCGTCAGACTAACACAATGCATGAGTACAGCTGAAACACACTAGTCCCAGGCCCACCTGGGCTAGAAAGATGTTGCTTCTGCTTGGGCAGAGTGGCAATATCCACAGCGAAAACCTCTGAGCCCCAACGTACAAACTGATGCTTCAGAATGCAATCAGAGCACCTCAGCAGGGATGGTTGGGCAAACACACCTCTAGTGGCTGTGCTATAATCTAGGTATGGATTTTGGCACTGATGACCAGGAACTTGGTTCTGGAAGCCTTGTGACAGTGCATGAGAACAAGGGAACCACAGCGACACTACACTTTGTTCATACCATCCTACAAGTTTCAGATTAAGTCCCTCTGCAGGGATTAAAGCAGGGAGCTGCTTCCCCCTAGATTTTCTTCCAAAGACTGACCTGAACTGAAGACGTGCCAGCTGCCCACTGCCCACCCCCTGCTCCCCACAGGGAGGGGGCTCTACCTGTACACTGGCTGCATTTCCCTGGCAATCCCGATGACTGCTCCCTCTGGGAAGTTGTCGAACTCATCAAACAGGTCTCGGATGTTGGTCTTGTACTTCAGGTCCAAGTCTACCTGGATGATCTGTGTTATTTCTGAAAGTGCAAAGAGGAAAAATCAGCTATACAAGCCAAAATCATAACCAGTGATTACCAATGGTGACATGACGATTTATACCCAACGAGGATTTGGTGCAAGACTCAGCCATTTCAGGGCAAACGCAATCCAGCTGCAACCTCTGCATAAAGCCACCAACCTTCAACCATCACAACAGCATTTACCACTGTGCATTTTAGGCATGATTTACTTTGGAAACCATTTCTTGTGACCTCCTGCTTCTATCTATTCCCTCCTTCCTTCCAGAAGACTTGTTTTCCATATGGCTGACAAAAGCAAGAGGTAGCTCCAACCCAGCCTCCCCCCTTCTGGAAATGCTTCTGCAGGAGCAGCCACACAAAACTCCATGCTCACCTTATGTACTTCTGGGAAAAGCTACCAACTCCACAAGCATTTCCCAGCTCCAACCCTCACATCGCTGCCTCGAAGCATCAGAGCAGTTCCCATCATGGACAACATCAATAATGCAGTCAGCCACACGACACCCTCAGTAACACCTCCACAAGCTCATTAGCTGCCAGCGGCCTGACACGGGCTTCCCCGAGCACAGAGATTACAGACCCCTGCCTGCACAGAACTGCTGGGGGCCTGCGGCAGCCTGGGAAACTTTATTATGGCCGGTGGTACTCTGTCAGAGACAAGGACGGTTGTGCAGACATGGAAGCATCTTCCACTTGCAGTGGGAAAGTCGAGAGCGAGGAGAGGCTGGAGGACATCATTACGAAGGCCAGGCCTGAGCTCATTAACAGGGTCAGGCCCCTGCCTGCATTTGTCATAGTCTCCCCTGCAGCACACGAGGCTGACTGATGGAGAAGTTGCTTGGGAGAGGGTGCAGGAGACACACCTCGTCAAGGCTGCTTGTCCCGGGCGGATCTGGGGATGTTGTACGGATTGCAGCAGGCCAAGTGGAATGCAGCAAATGCAAACGCTACGAGATATCGGACCGTCCCATGGGTTCCCCCAGCCCTGGGCAAAGCCATGGTCATCTTCTGGCCAGCCAAGCTCAGCCCTGTGTGGGGACTGTGAGTGGCGTCGAGCCTTCCCCCGTGGCCTTATGTAATGCCAATGCTATTTATATGTGTTATAAAAGCCCAGAGCAAACTGGCCGGGTTGCTTAGCACTCGGCACTAATTGGATTAAAAAGACTGTGTCAACCTGTTTCAGCCCCCACTTGTCATGCACAGGTGCTGTTACAGCTTTCTGCGGGCTAGATGTGCATGTCACCACTGCTTTCACAGCAATTAGCAAATGAGGCCCTCATCCTTCCTCCTGCCCAGCCTGCCCTCACCCTCTGCTGCCCGTACCCTCTGTGCTACAGGCAGGGCTTCCCATCAGGCTGGCGTTTCTGTGGCGCTGCCCATGCTCTGGCCTTCACACCACCGCAGTTCCTCACCTCCTCGCCCCGCCGTGCCCGGGACAAGCTGCTGGCTACCCCCACTCTGCTGAGAGAGGGAGGCAATCGCTCTGTTTTCAGCCCCCAAAGCCACCGTTGGGACTTAGAGACCCGGGGAAGCTGAGAGCAGCCAGGCACGGGCAGCTATCCTCTGGCACAAGAATGCAGCTTTGCCATTTCAAATGCATTCGTCGCGTGGTGCTTGTTTTTCAAGCAGATGCTGGGCTGTACAGCAGCTCTGATTTTTTGCAGATCCTGCACTAATCCGAGGCTCTTGGCAATTGATTGTATCTACCACGCTGTCCTCATTTGAGAAGGAAAAAGTCTCGTGAGGTTAAGCAAGAAATATACTGCTTACTCTGTGAAGCATCCAAGCAGAAATATAAATCAAGGAGAAATAGTATCTAAGCTACAACCCAGGCTGTATCTCAATTTATTTTTTTAACATCCATCACTCTCTATCTGCTAAAGGGAAATGCCACCCTCCCTTCAGCTGGCAGCACGGCAATCCCCAGGCCTACCTAGTATTTACTACCACCATAATCCTCTGTTTGCAAAGATTTAAAACCCAGGCATAGTAATTCACTACAGGCTAAAGCAGGTCTTGACCTGAAAGCAATTTCCCTCAGCCTTCCTAACCGCCTTAGAAATCTCTAGCGCAACTCAAGCAGATGAATAGGCAGAGCGGAGGACTTCTGCAACAGGGAAGGAGACGTGTATCCCCCATACCCCAAACCTCCCCAGTGGTCCATACCACAGCAGGGCAAAACCCCAAATCCTTAACGCTACTGCACTTGAGAATATCCAGACTAGTGACAAACCTCCATGGTGAGGAGACCCGGACCTCTCGCACAAGCTCAGCCCAAGCAAAACGGGGTGGGAGCCTGAGCCCTCCAAGGCACTGCTGAGGACAGGGAAAGGGGCCGGGGTTCCCAGGAGGATCCCAGCACAGCTCACCCCAGTGCACAGCAGCCTTCCGATGCCTCATCAGGTTTCAATTAAATCAACCGCGAGGCACGTCATCCAATTGTTCTCTACAATTACAGATGAGCGCTAACTGCAATTAATCACAGCGGAGAATGACATCTGAGCTTGGGGGAAGCTCCAGTCCCAGCCCTGCCCGCCCCAGCACCAGCACCCCGCACTGGTCCCACACTGTGCTGGCAGAGCCCCCCAGGAAAAACTCACTAACAAATTAGACTCAGAGAGCACAAAGTACTTTTCCTTTTTTTTTTTAAAGGAAGCATGAACTGCAACACTGAGACAAATATGAGCATGGGTGACATTAAGTGCCGCTTTGCCAGATGCAGCTTGCACAGATAGATTAATGGCCAAGATGATTTCTCTGCCTGCGACTGGCAAGGGGCCAGGCACTAATATTTATGATGTATCATGCTCTTTTCCCCTTTTACCAAGCACTTTGTCCTGGCTGCCATGTGAGGGTGGAGGAATCGCGTGCTCTCTTAGGCACAAACTGCTTGGAGGGGTCCAGCTGGAAATGTGGGAAAAGGCTGAGAGCGTTTTGCTCAGCAACCAAGTTTTCTAACTTGGCCATACTGTATATCACCCTCTGCTCCGTTCAACTCTGGCTCTTCCAGCCACGGTGCATAACGGGGAGTTACACCACCCAAAGCGGAGATGATCTCCATTAGCAGTGACAGCTTTATGGCACAGGCTGGCCCTGTTTAACGCTCGTAATGTTTTACTGCAGGCTTGTACCAGCAGCTGCAGCAGGGCTGCTGTCCGGGCTCAGCTCAAACCCTCCCTCTAGCCGCGTCCAGAGGAGAAAGACCAGCTTAAGGAATGTGCGATCCCGCAGCAGGGTCTGCAGTGCTGTAAACCAGGAGAGAAAGCCAGCACCAGGGCCCAAGCCACCTTGCACTGGGGCTCAGCTGCCGAAGAGAGGGAGAATCAAGGTTATCCCAGAGCAGAACTCCAGAGAGATGCCAGGGCAGATCCCCTCTCGTGTGGGCGCTCCCGATTTCCCCGAGAACCTCAGCCCAGCAAGGGGGCACGGACAGGTGGCAGTCACTTCCCTGTGCCCTGCTGCCCAGCATCCTCTGCCAGGATGTAGCAGAGCCACACCAGCACGCGGGCAGGCACCCTGGGTGCTTGCCAAGGGGCTCGGTGAGTTGTCTGGGTGCTCTGAGCAGTACCCAGGAGCCCCTCTGGCAGGGAGCAGCTTCTGCAGCAAGTCTGACGGCCCTTCCCAGGAGGCACCAACCCCACAGCCTGCCCCGTGGCACAGCGGGGACAGAGCGGGACGGGAGCAGGCGGGCATGCAGCGAGCCGGACCACCCCACCGACACGTGGTGCGAGCCTTGGGAGCAAATCGCTCTTCTCAGAAGAGTCAGGCAGGAGCATGAGTAGCAGTGGAGGGGCAGGGGGAGGAGAAGCACTGCTTTGGCTGACCCAGCCAGGGCTCTGGGGATGCTGCACAGCAAGCAACCCTGCAGCAGCTATTATCCCTCCAGCCCTTCTTGACCCACAGCCACTGTTTGGAGCAGCCTATGGATGGGCAGCCTTGAGCCTGCCTGTAGGCTAGGACTACTTTCCCCCAGCCTGAGGAGGGGATGGCCTGCAAGAGATTTAAATAGTGGATTTAAAACTACAGGAAAGTGGATGGATGATGGACGGAGGGTCAGGAGAAGAGGAGATGCAAAGGCAGGTGCCTGCACGGAGCCTGGGGGAAGCTGCCAAGCACGTAAGCCTGTGTTCCCTTGGCTGCTCTGGGAACACCAGCTGCCGGCTAGAAACCTGATGGGAGCAAAGGAGATCCCCTTCTCAGCTATTTGTCTTTTCCTGCTCCAGTGCCTTTGCCACCAGCGAGTCGCTGCCTCCCCAGCACTGCAGGCAGCCAGGGCAGAAGCAGGCAGCAGCAGCAGCATGCACTCCCTGTGGCGCAGACGATGCTGACACCCTCCATGCACAGTTGGGGCACCCATAGGTCACCTAGTGATGGCCAAAACTAGTCTCTGGAGTATGACATGCGATTTGAGAGGCTCCTACGTGAGCTACAAACCTCCTGGTTACCAGGCACCCCTGGGTACTGGTGTGGGGAGCCCAGGGTGATTCACCCACCGTGCATTGGGCTCTAATAGTTAGACAAGGCAGAAAAGCAAGACCCTGCAGCCCCGCAGCCTGGCCTCTGGAGGCAGCACGGGCTATTCTGCAGGCAAACTCATTTACACTCATCCCAACAACTTTCTCTGTACAAGGGTTGCTACCCTGGCAAAGCTGAGCCCAGACGGCAGGCACAGGGCTGGGGCGTAAAGTGCTGGCCTCAGCTCTAAACCCTGTTCTTCTGTACAAATCACACCAGATCTGGGGCAGAGGGATGCCACCACCGGCAGTCACCGTCATGCTGTGGAGAGGGGAAAGGAGGGAAAATATGAACAACTTGTGTCCAGGAACAAATAGTGAAACGGAGAGCTGCCATCACAATGCAAAGGGCAGAAGCTGTCCAGCAAATAGCATGGTCTTAATCACTGTTAATTGAGTTGTGGTTTATTGAGCTGTGGTTTAACAGCTTTAGAGTAGAAGAAGCAAGAATTGAAACCTCCTGGAGGTGGTGGAGCTCTCCAG